TTACAGTTTCCAGTTGCGATCAGTTGACTCCATCTATCCCAGTCAAGTGCTTCAAGGCGATCCCGTCTCTCCATTGCTCTTCAACCTATGCTTCAACCCCCTAATGAAAAAACTCAAAGAAACCGAATTTCAACAGTGTGGTTACATATGGGGCCCGACAGCAAGCCTTAGAACAAGAGCTTGGTTACAATTTGCGGACGACACGGCAATCATCGCCAACAAAAGTGCACAGAAGCTAATCGATCTAAACCGGGCTTGGTGCAATGCAACCGCATGAAACTAAGAATTGATAAATGAGAAAAAAAACGGTTCTTACGAGCAATTCCATCCGATGCTGACCATCGATGAAAAACCAATTCCTCAAGTCGACATTGATGGACACTTTGTCTATCTGGACAAGGTCTACGATTTTAAAGGAAACAACAGCAAGGCTAAAGAACAGTTAGCTGAAAAGTTGAAAAATTTTTTATCAGTGATAAACAATCTCGACACTACGGCAAACTGGAAAATACAAATTCTATGTAATAATAATAATAATATAAACATTTATGAAGCGCCCATTCGCACAGCTGCTTCAGAGGCGCCCGGAGCCCGTGTTAAAAAGATGAGTCTTTAATCCCTTTTTGAAAAGACTCAACAAGGAACATTGTCTTAACTCAGGAGGTAACGCATTCCAGACATACGGAGCAGCGTGACGAAAACCGCGGCCAGCCAGGCGGGATCCGGTAACGGGAATGTTTAAGAAACCTGTTGAGCTGCTGCGGAGTGATCTAGTATGTTCATGTCTGGATATGAGGTCGTATAGATATGTTGGGGATTTTAATAAAAGGGTTTTGAAGGTAAGGACTGCAATTTTGAAGATGATTCGAGCGGAAATTGGAAGCCAATGAAGCATTGGAAAGAGAATGGAAGAACTAAAACGAGGAGGTTTATTAAATATAAGTCTAGCAGTTTTATTTTGGATAGTCTGTAGTTTTCTGACAGATGCACGTGAGGCCCCATACAAGAAGGAGTTGCAGTAGTCTAATCTAGAAAGGATCAAACATCTGCAAAGGGCAGCAGCAACATCACATGTAATCATATGTCTAATATGTCTTATTGCGCAGAGGTGATAGTTGCAGGATCTGACGATTTCTGATGTGTTTATTAAAATTTAGATGTCTGTCAAAAGTGACCCCAAGCAACTTGATCGAATCCGAGATAGGCAATGTGGACCCTGCTATGTCCATTTCCTCGAGCTAAAACCTCGACAGTTGTTGATGTGTCCCAATGACCATAATTTAAGATTTGTTGGGGTTGAGAAGAAGAAAATTATTAGCATACCACCGATAAACCTCGCCAGTACAATTGCTTAAGACTCGAATGCTGCTTTCAAGATCGCCAGAGGTAACAGATATGACGTAGATATGTACCGTCGCGATTGGCATTCGAGTTGCGGACATACAACATTTCCTTGACTTGGATAATCAACTGCCTTGACTCTCTCTCATTGTTGAGTTGGTGAGATCATGGCTATCGCTGCCAATCAGCAGTTGTGTGGCGGAATGCCTGTCCCTCCCCTACAAAATGTCTCTTTCAAACACTATGCCGAATCTTTGCGGATCAAATTACGCAATTATTTAAAAGCACATGGCAATGATGAACTGAAGTGTTTGTGGTCCGAATCGTTCAACAAGTATACTGCGATTGACAACCAACTCCCTGATTCGACGCTCAATGCGACAATGCTCCGACAACAAAGGCAGAATTTGAACGACTGACCTCACTCCGTTGTCAAGGTACAATAGTCAAAGCAATCAGCAATGAAATTCCTGCAGCTCGAATTGCTCACTGGTCACGTTGCATTATGAGCCTTCCAGAGGTTCTATTCAGATTTGTCCGAAAAAGTTCAATTCAACAGCTGCCAACAAATGCCAACCTGTCCAGATAGGAAAAGTCCTCCACTGCCCAGTGCTCGTTATGCAAAAATACACAAACCAATAAATATGTACTATCCAACTGCAGCTCAGCATCGGCATTGGGTAGATATACAACAAGACACAACAAAATTTTAGCAATAATTCTCGACAAGTTAAAATCATGTGCCAACCCAGACGTTTCCATTTTTGCAGATCTTGAGACAGGCGATTTTCAACCACCATCACGCTTATTCAAGACATTGCGACCAGATATCGCATTGCTACGCGGCGAAACGTTGGAAATCCTGGAATTGACAATCTACCATGAGACTAACCTCTCCAACTCTTAAGAACACAAACAATCAAAATACTCTAATAGCTTGAAAAATAACTTAAACGACGACTTGAAACATTTATAAAAAACAATAAATACATTTGAAATATCTACTTTAGGTCTCTTTAAAACATTTAATCTTTCGCTAATAAATATTATTTGGACTGATTATTTTTATAATAACCTTATAAACTCTGCTATATCATCGTCGTACGCTATCTATTGCGATAGAAATGTGAAATGTATCAATTTTAAAACTAATTAACTCTGGTCGTACTCTCTCGATTCGAATGATGAGCTTCTCAGATTAATACTCTATCTACGCTTTATTTTATTTCATTATTTTTTTTTAATTCTTTATTTTATTTTACTTTTACTGTAATTTTCAATGTTTTTTTTATTGTTGAATAAAAGATCGTTCCCATATATATTAATATATATATATATTATATAATTTATTCAGCAAAAATTGAATTAAATTGAATATATATATATATATATATATATATGTTGGTAATAGACCATAATTTTTACAATATTCTATAAATTCTACCGAATGTTTGGCGTTAATATGTTTGTAATTCGTTTTTTCGATTTTTCTCACTAAAGTTTTTTGGTGAACGTTTAGTTTATTAAAATTCAAAATAAACTTATTTTTCGAATTCATGCTGCAAATAAGGCCATATTTCGATTCCGAATGAATCATCTTCAGTGCTCCTTGCTGTATATATAGGGAAATATTGACTTTGTCAAGATGAACTTTGACGTTGTAAAAATTAACTTTGGTGTTGTAAAATTGAACTTTGATGCGAATTAGGTGTCAGGTTTCTTAATTGGCTGGTCATCTTCTTTGGTCTCCTTTTATTCATCGATAGCATCATATTCTTCTTTGTCACTATTTACGATGCTAGTTTTTATTACTTCTTTGTTTTCGTTGTTGGTTAAGCGCCGGGTTGGAAGTGAGGTTGTCATTTTTTGTTGTATATTTATTTTTGGTTTATTGATGTCGATTAGGACTGCTTGTGCAATTTTAAGATGCGTGTAGTTGCTGTTCTGGTATATTACTTTGGTGTTGCTGTCGAGGATTTCACGGCTAATTGTGATTGAATGTGTTGAGTGTAAAGACAGCACAATAAAATCATTTGTGAACCGGGAATTCACACACTCTTCCGATATTGAAAATCGCGACGCTGTATTAAAGAGAGTCACTAACCTGCTTGTAAACAATGGATATAAGACGTACTCTATTGAAAAGATTGTTAAAGGCAAATTACTACACAATATTGTAAAATATATATATATATATATATATATATATATATATATATATATATATATATATATATATATATATATTGGATTAAGACAGTCAAAAATGCAATTATTGACGAAAATCACAGTATGTTCCGCGTTAGTTAGCTTCCTGTTTAATTTTTCTATTTTTGTAACGGTACTTTTTTCTTTAAATATATTAACCAAATTTCAATTATTAACGCTTCTCTTTTTATGTATAAATTTATGAATAACCGATCGCCTTCTAATTTTTTTAATTTTTTAAGCCTTCTAACTTTTTTAATTTTTTAATATATAAACCTTTGGATAGTTTAAATTTTATTCCTTTCATTAATGCCTTTAGCAGATTAAAAATTCTAAATGATAGCATTTTTTTATGGCGCCTAAAATTTGGTTTAAAATTCTGCCACAATCTATCACTTCTCTCTTTAAACCGGGATGTTTGTTTAAACATCATTGAAAAACTTTTTTTTATCTTGTAAACATGATATCACTATTTATTTATACTCTTTTATTATGCATATATGTGGGTTATATGTATATTGATATAAGATTAGGTATTTATAAATGTGTGTATGTGCGTATATATGTGTGTGTATGTATGTTAAAACCAAAACATGATGAGTGACACTGAACCGTCACGACACATATCATGCATGTGTGTATGCATGTGTGTATGCATGTGTTTATACGTAAACGCGTGTTTGTATGTGGACACGTTCATCATAATATCATTAAATTTCAGTCTTTTTATACTTGACAATAACTAATTTTTATTGGTTTGTTTCGTTGAACTACTTAGAAAAATTATCAATACAAGTTGACGTTAATATGCCAAATGTTCCAAAAATTGGTAATATGATTAATTTGAATTATAATTCAATAAAAAACGAATTGAAGAAACGTAATTTGCACAGGCAGGCATTAGAATGAATGCAAGTTGAATTGAAGTCGCTAAAAACAAAAAGAAATCTCATGTTGAATTCTGAAGAAGTGTGCAGCAATGTTTTATTTGAACAATTCACCAATGAAAATTCAAACGAGCAAGTTCAATTTTCATTCTTCAACCGCAAATTTTAGGACGTCTAGAAGCAGATGAAACTTCGAATGACGAAGTAATCCAACCGAGAAAAATGTGGATTCATTTATTTAGATATAGATTAGTTGCAACCGAATCGACAACAGTCGCATTGCAAGCGGTTGCTTTCAACACAGGAAGTACTTTTAGCGATTTGTTTGTCAGGTGAAGATGTGCTCTTACGTATAAACAGGTTCTCAAACACTCAAACAAGACTTGAAAATAAGCATTTAAGATAAGGCAAAATATTTACAGCAGTAACTGTAAATTCGAGTCGTGCATTTTCAATACAACAATATTTTAGAAGTCAATTAATTTATTCATCAGATTTTAATAAAAAATAAATTAACTATAAAAATCTATTTAGTTTACAATACATGATAATGTTGTAACATACTTGAGGAACCAAAATTTTGATTTTATTGATCATGTTTTCAATTATTTCTTCGAAGTTTCCGGCATAACGGCTCACGTCTGTTGATGTACCTGAACGAGTTCATTTTTCACATTTACTTTTCAACTACTTCAAGTTAAACATCACTATCATTTTACAATGATCAGTTCACTACAACAAAAATCCAATACAGCTCTCGCGATTGTGTAATAGTATTCTGCCTGGCACTGATATTGCAGTGACAGGATTCGATTGCTAAAAGAACAAACACTGTGTTTGTTGTTGGTGCCAAAATGAGAATAAGATCGAATAAAACGAGATCGAGAACACCAAAAAAATATGGTTGTTAAAATAATCTGATACTACACATTCTTTTGATTCTACTTCCGGCTTAACATAACTAGACGCAAAAGCACTGCAGACAAGAAATAGACCACTTGTCGTTGTTTTGCACTTTTAGAAAAGAGTATTTCTGACCAACCAACCAATCAACCAATCAACCAATCAACCAATCAACCAATCAATCAATCAATCAATCAATCAATCAATCAATCAATCAATCAATCAATCAATCAATCAATCAATCAATCAATCAATCAATCAATCAATCAATCAATCAATCAATCAATCAATCAATCAATCAATCAATCAATCAATCAATCAATCAATCAATCAATCAATCAATCAATCAATCAATCAATCAATCAATCAATCAATCAATCAATCAATCAATCAATCAATCAATCAAACAATCAACCAATCAATCATTCAATCAATCATTCAATCAATTATAAAGCGCTATTTCCTCGATGTTCAACAGGGCTCCTCAATGAATTTTGCAAACAGATGGGTCTTGAGATCCGCTCTGAACTTCGTAAGTGATGGAAAAGTAGTCAGAGAAGTAGGTAGAGAGTTTCAGAGAAAAGGACCAGAAAAAGCGAATACAGATTTAGGAAAAGATTGTTTAACAATGAACCATAATTTGATATGTTTACAACTATAGGTAGGCATAGGGATAGTAAAATGAGAATTTTATCTAACAATAAAGCTTATAAATAATTCTTGTCGTATAAATGCAAAAACAAAGTCATCCACTGACGTCTTCCTGAAAAAACTGGACTGCAGTCACGACATCAATGCAGAAGCGATGAAAAGAAGACAGCAGCCGTGTGTCTTTTCTGTCAAGCAGCGCGTAATCATAGCAAATGGAGACATCTTGTAAACACGGTAGCGCAACTTACGCCACAGATGATAATTATGTCTTGATAAATATTTTTTCGAATTTATTAATGAGCAAAACACATTCATTTTGTTTTGCTTTTCTTCCTATCCGTTTTTTATCATACTTTTTTTTGCAACGGACTGTGTTAGTCAGAATGTATGTATATATATATATATATATATATATATATATATATATATATATATATATATATATATATTATAGGGACATCCCTAAAAAAAGAAAAGTACTCTCGGTTTCCAACTTTACGAACGTAGATAAGTATTAATTTAGTTTCGAAAAATAAACAAATAAATCGATTTTAAATACTTTTTACTTTTCAAGAATTTTGTTAAATAAAGTTATTAAAGTTTAACTTAGTTATTTTTTTGCGTTGTCAATTTATAAGGTCACAACATATATAAATATATATTTGCAATTATTGATGAAAATCACAGCATGTTCGGCGTTAGTTAACTTCCTATTCACTTTTCGATTTTTCTAACGGTTGAGGAAGTTAACTAACGCAGAACATGCTGTGATTTTCACCAATAATTTCATTTCTGACTAATCTCAATCCAATATATATATATATATATATATATATATATATATATATATATATATGTATATATATATATATTTTTACAATATTCTATAAATTCTACCGAATGT